CACCACACCCGTGCAGGGGCCATAGGCAGAGCCCCCCCCCCTCCAATCCATACACATACATTTTCTTTCTGAAAATCGTCTAGTTTTGATGGCCTATTCTTAACTTGTTTTTCGTCTGGATTTTCATCCTCTTGGGTACATCTGAGCAGCGTAGTCCTGGATAGTCCTAAGGCTTGTCTTGTCATTTTTTTCGGGATTTGTTATAGAATAAAGGAGACGTCCTCAATCACCTTCTTTGGAGAAATGGTTCAGTAGTTTGAAACGTTTTTTAGGGTTTGTAAACTAAGTAATCTAACCATGGTGATTAATGAAAAAGTGAAACCATGAAACGCCTGCGATCTCAAAGACTATGAAGTTATGAATGAAATTACCGTTCTTGTTTTAATAAAAATTCCCCGAGTAGACTGGAATTAATGATTGTATGGAAAGCACCTCGTTATATTTGTCGCTTAGGACCGAAAATCAAGATTTTAAAGTATTTTTGGTGTTTTTTATTGTCGAATTTCGAGGCACGTGCAAAATACCAGGGCAATTTGCCGCTTAGTTTCTGTGTAATGAGGTAGACAGGTTGTCCATTTGGTGATGTCCAGACTATAACTGCGCTCCAGTTGGGGGCTTCAGTGACAAAGTGAGCAGTGAGTTCAGACTCAAATGTATTGTCAAGCAAGTGTCAGTGACACAGAGTTTAAATGGGTGGTCACTGAGGTGTATCCTTGTGCAAGACACCACAACCCTCGTTCACAAAACAGGGCACTGCACAGTGGCGATAAACAATAGAGTGTTTGTGAAACTGCCTTGTCTTGGTATGCTATTGCGTATTTAATGTTTGTATTTGTATAATATTTATTTTGCATCTATGTTTGTATATATCAATATATATTTTAGTTATGATGTAAGTTTGCCAGAGTACCCCCAAACAGGCGTACGGGGATTAATAAAAATAAATGTAATTTATTGTATTATTTATTTATTTATTCAGTAGTGCTTCGAACCGGTCCACTTTAGCAGTGGGAGAATGTAGCACTAAATAAATGAAACAGATAGTAAACTATTACTAGAGTAATATTGTGCAATTTTTAAAAATATAATCTTATTCTATACCTTCTTTTCGTTGCAAGCGTCGGCAAACGTATGAGCACAAAGAAACCTGACGGTGGTCGGGCTATCGGCACGTTTGGGCCAGGTGCCAGAAAAGTGGAGGACGTGAGGATGGACATAACGCACCTGTACAAGTTTCCAGAAGGTCGGTCACCTAGAGGTCACACGATATAACCATCTTATACTACTTAGCTGTCGAACATATCAGAACGAGTTTCTATAGATACAAAATAATCACCAATGTCAATTTCACTCCCATACTATTGACTTTCGTACGAGATGTTTCTTGGGATTAAAATAAAATATTGATGTTTATACGCCTTCATCGACACAAATTAGATCTTGTAGAAGTCGGGCTTCCGACCCTGCCTTTCAGGGCCAACCCTGGCACTTTCAAGACCAAAAATTGAGTCAATTGTGCCGTAAAACACCTACTAAATCAATCAAGGGTCAACCCCGGGTGCGAGAGAATCAACGTCTCTACAGAAAGAAGGTTTTTACTCGATAACAATTCTCCCCACAATGTGAATCGAAATCAAGTCCTCTTCGTGCGACGACACGCCTAACCACTACACCACAGACGCCGATTTAGTTTCACAACTCTGTGGATCTGCTGTTGTTTGAATATAAACAGTGTTTATTTATACTGATAGCGAGTTCTCTAGAAAGTAAAAAAATGGCACGAAACAATGATTGAACAAACACGTCTCAACTACATATATTTTCTCTTTTTTGATGGGATGAACCAGGAAGTAAAGAAGAGAGGGAAGCGCTCAAGCTGGCTGTGGGCAGAGGACCAGGAGCGAAAATATTTGAAGAGCCTGGGGTAAGATAAGATTAAGATATTATGATCAATCAGATAAGATAAGATAAAATAGGATAAGTTGAGTAAAGATAAGATAAGATAAGATAAGATAAGATAAGATAAGATAAGATAAGATAAGATAAGATAAGATAAGATACATGGACATTTCTATGAGTCAAGAGAAACTCTTATTACTGCAAGAACATTATATGAAGATGTTACTAGACCGTTCAAGCAGTAAAAAATTATGAAATAAATATGAACAGGTATACAGAAACAGACAGACAGATAGACAGACAGATAGACAGACAGAAAGACAGACAGACTGAACGAAAGACAAACAGAACGACAGGCAAACAAACAAACAGACTACACACAGACACACAGACACACATACACCCGTACACGCATACAGACACTCAAGCAAATAGACACAAGACAGAGATTATAAAATTCGTGTGGATGTGTACTTTTATGTATACTCACATCCACCTGCTTTACCTTTTTCTTCTTCTCAGGGTGTCTCTATCAACCTTGTTGAAGTCTCTCCCACCCAGATAGGCAACAGCTTCACGTTCAGCGTTTTGCTCACTAACACCAGCAACGAGCCGCGCGCCTTAGGACTCACACTGGGCGTTTTCCCCATCGACTACAGAGGGGAGAGGTTAGGTTGGGACAAAGTCGCCTTTAAGAAGTACGAAGCAGTGTCTATTAGTCCAGGAGAAAGTGAGTTTGTCGTGATGCGTGTCAAAATCTAAATTATCTTCTGTGTTGTCACATTTTATGTTTTACTTTTAAATGCACAACGTTGTGCGCCTAGAGCAACAGTAGACCAAAATCTTTACACTTACGTAAAGCTGATAATATTCAGTTCAAATGTTTAGTGACATAATGGACTTTAAAAAAATCAAATCTCAAAATTCTGCATTGATCTTTTTCAGATTGAGAGCGACATGTGTTATCTTATCTGCTGTAAGGTAATTTGGCCACAAGTCGTGCTGTTATCAGTCACTTTATAAACAATTCAGATCCAATCTTTAAGTACAGGGCGAGTCAAATGTGGATGCATCTAGTATATCTTAACCACTAATTGCACTTTCTTGCTTCGCTTTCAGATTTGCGGTTTGACTTACCAGTACAGGACAAGGCCTACTTAGCGTTCTGCGACAAGTCCATGTCCATGATGCTGAGAGCTCACGCCAAGATTCAGGGAGAGGAGAAACCAGTCAGCAAGATGAAGAAAATGTCCTTGATTGCTCCTGATTTATCAGTTATGGTGGGTAACACAGCGCAGTATTATTCATTTTCCCCACATTATACAATGACATCTAAAGGTTTATTAGAAGATCATGTTTCATGCCCTTACCGACACATTTACACCATTTAGGAAACGGGCTACTTCGACCCTACCTGTCGGGGCCAACCCAAGCTGAGCGAAATAAAATATCAAAGGAGGCACAGGGCAAAAAAGAAAAAAACCCCCAAAAACCCAAATATGAACCAAAAATCCTCCTAAACACAAAAACCAAATGTGTTATTTTGGAATCCACCTGTTGCACCCCATATGCCAGTGTATCATGATTTGCACTGATCCGGACATAGTTTTTAGTTCGTAACACACATTTTCTTTGCTCTCAAGTCACCTGCATATCTTTAAACATACATACATTTATAGGTGAATGATTTTTTTGAAAAAATGGCGTATCTTTAAAGTTTAAACTCTCTGAATTTCCTCTTATTCGATTTCAAATAATTATTTTAATATCTACTGGTAAAGCGATTTCGTCCTAAACAAATAACATTGTTACCAATGGTGCTTTTCTGCTGTTATTAAGAGATTTTCTTCAACAGTTGGCATGCAGATCATGAATAAAATAATTATAATTAACTCCTTTTACATGTTACACAAAGTTTGGATATAATGCATTTAATCTAAAAGCTCTTTAAGTGCCCCAGCGTCGTGTAATGTAGCGGTTAGTTCGATTCCTGAGTGGGGAGAGATTTGTTTAAATCGAGCATCCTGGTCTTTCTTCTGGGATATTCTGTCCCTCTCAGCCCGGGTTGGCCCTGACAGGTGAGGTTGGAAGCTCGCCTACTGAATGATCAAAATTGTGTTGATTGGGGAGTAAAAACGGATACATTTTTTTCTTCAAATGCGCACACGTTAGATCAATAACTAAAAAACCCCAAAACAACTACTACAAAACAAACCAAAAAAAAAAAAAAAAAATACCAACAAAAAACAAGCAAACCAACAACAAATACAAACAGACATTTTTAATAAGTAAGAAAGAACAAACTAAATAATACTTTTGTGAATCCTGCCTTCTCCCCAGATCCCAGGCCCTGCCACCCGACTTGAGCGAGATCAACCGTTCTCGGTAACCATCCAGGCCACGAACCCTTGCAGCAAGCCTCTGACGGAATGTTCCCTGCAGCTAGACGGGAGCATCGAACCCCTTCCCTCTCAGGGATTTACTTATGTAGACTCCGCTCATGTGAAGAAAATCAGGTATGTAGAGGAAGTAAGTTAGAGAGAGGGTTAGAAGACAGGGAAAGAGGGATGGAGGGGAGAAAAAAAGAGAGAGAGAATGTGAGAGACAGAGAGGGAGAAAGAGAGAGAGAGAGAGAGAGAGAGAGAGAGAGAGAGAGAGAGAGGGGGGAGGGAGGAAGAGAAAAGATTAGAGTGACAGACAGACAGACAGAAAAAAGACAGACAAAAAAATAGACAGACAGACCGACAAACAGCCAGGAAAGCAGCAGATCGGCAGACAAACAGACATGCAAACAGCAAATATGCAGACAACCGACAGACAGACTGACAAAGAAACCCATACAGACAGAGAGGTGCAGGCAGAGAGATATACAGAGAGAGGTGGGTGGGTGGAAGTGAGAAATAGACATATGTGTGCAAGCCCTTGTTAACCGAATTTCATCAAGTTTATCAATAAAAGTCTTCTTCTTCTTCTTCTTCTTCTTCTTCTTCTTCTTCTTCTTCTTCTTCTTCTTTAATCTTTCTTTTGATATTATTTAATAATATGTTTCTTCCCATTAAAAATCTACCCTTTCCATCTTTGTCTAGCGACATCTTCCCCAACCAAGTCATGACCTTGACGATTGAGGTGAAAGCCAAGAGACAGCCTTACATGAGCAAGAGGAGAGAGCTGGACGTAGATCTCATCTGTAAACAGCTGCCGGAACTCACGGGAAGCTTGGAGGTCTCACTGAGCTAATGCTGAATATAACACCTTGTGTAGTGAGAAATGAATTACATAAATTATGAACTTTAACGCTGATGGTTGCCTCATATATAGCTCTAATATGAGTACTGTGATGATATCAAAGGCTCCGGTTTCAGGACTGATGATTCGAAAGAATTATTTGAATTCTTTTTTTAATATAGCTTTATGACGAAGCATGGTTCATACATAAAGTGGATACTAAAAGTTTGATTCTGAATAAGTGTGCACTGTTTAAAGATCTGAATCAAAACACACTCCGATTGTTTTCTGGGATGTCCTCTAAACAATTTCAATGTAATAACGAGTACGGACCAATTTCACGTAAGATCTCTGGATTTATTTTTTGGAGACTACTAGGGGGGATAGAATAGAACAAATATTCATAATTTTCAATCTCCTTATTTTTCTACCTTGATGAGTTGTCTAGCTTATTATTCTATTGTTTTTTTTTATTAAAACAATAATTTGTCAGAAAGGTTCACGGTCACACTTTAGTAACGGATGTAAAACAACCAAGCAGGGAATGAATGGGATCCCGGGAGTGTTTCACGACACCTCTAAAACACACAACAGACAAGACACGGGTACTCTGACAGATTACTTAAATCTCCGCTATGCCCTTGACCTTCAATTATCGCACCCGAGTCGCTATTCGCTCGTAGATATGATGATAAAGGAAGCTACGCAGAAACCGCCTTAGAATAGAAAATTTAAGAACTGCTAATGTTACTATAATATTGTGAATTTGACTGAATGTGTTGCCCCTGCCTTTTTTTTTACTGTTTAATGATCAACTATTTATATTAGCTATAGCACTTTTACGTTGCACTCCATTTATGTGTTTAATGCTCATTTTATTTTTAAAAAATATAATTACTAATTCAATTGTTATAGTTTCCACAATCTAAACAGATTGTCACTTGTATTTCATGCACCACTAAATACTACCAGGCAGCCATTGTTTTATTGTTATCAGATAATAGATGTGTCTTATTACCTGCAGCCGTATTATCAGTTTAACTTTTTAATAATTAAAACTTGTATATTATGACATCTTAAAGACCACCCCCCACACCAAAAAAAAAGAAGAAAAACACAAACAAACCGATATTATAATACATTAATAACCGAAAAAATTCCCAACAATTCGTGACTATTAAAAAAACAAAACAAACAACGACAGAGGATAATGTGTGCACAAACCTGCATTGCCTTTACTTTTTTAATACGAGATTCCTCAAAGGCCTCCTCTGCAGCTAAAAAATGATTGCAACCCCCGCCCCTCCCTTTCTCCCCGTACCCTGTCCCTACCACACAAACACCCCTCTCCTTCCCTCCTCCCCTTTCTCCTCCTCTCCTTACCTCCTCACCCAGTCTTCAAATCGACTGAGACTTCGTTATGCATTACTGTTCAAAATGCTGTATGGTGGAGTCATACACTGAGCAGTCAATATGTGTCTAATTCTGAAATATAGAATTTAAAAAAAACCCATCTAGCCAAGTGTTATATTATTATATAACATAATATAAAAGGTCTATCACTGTACAATTTTTCATAGAGTAATCTGTGAATGCAATCCCATGGCATCGTTCCCCATTCGACCCGGCTTGGTCCCCAAAGGTAGGAACTAACCAGTCCACCTCTTAACAGGATTAAATTCTGCTCATGGAGGTTCAAACCATTCCCAGTATTAACAAGACTATGAAACAATAATTATGTCAAAACACTGCTACACTGCTTTAAATTGAGCTTTATTTGGCTTTGGCTTAGAGTAATAAATAGTACCTGTACGGTAGTGTAATCCTGGATAAACAAAGACCAGTCTCAAATAATATAGTAAAACAAAACAATGCAGTAGTACAAACATAAAAATACATAGATGTTGAACCGTGCGATGCATTACGTGATATTATTTGGGTAAATGTTGTGACTTATATTTATGGTGTAGGGGTCTACGCATTATGCACACAAGGACACAATAACCCACCATGTCCCATCATGGTACGCACAGTTGTCATGTTTTTTGTCCTGTCTAAAATCCGTTTATTATAATATGTATAATAATTATTATATTTATTGAAATATTTGTAGCAGAAAAAAATTTAGCAAGGTGTGCCAATTACTGCTTGATGTTTTGTTTTATATTAAATCAACAATTCTTATTTTATCTAGATCTTGATATTACATATTCCTTTACAACCATTATTTATCAAAATGCTGTCAATCGCCATAAGACGACATAGCCATTTTTACAATCCTTGATAAATTCTGAAATCCAAGGTGATATGTTTTAAGAGAAAAAAAAAAAAGAGAGAGAGAGAGAGAGAGAGAGAGAGAGAGAGAGAGAGAGAGAGAGAAAGAGGAGGTATAGACAGATAGAGAGAGGTATAGATAGAGAGAGCGAGAAAGAAAGAAAGAAAGAGAGAGAGAAAGAGAGAGAGAGAGAGAGAGAGAGAGAGAGAGAGAGAGAGAGAGAGAGAGAGAGAGAGAGAGAGAGAGGAAGGGAATTACAATGCTGTTTTGCTTATTTATACTTTGAGACAGATAATGTGATCCTTATGCCTTGACCGAATGTCAAATATGTCTACTTTTTGACCTACTGTGTCTGTGTCTGAGACAATAGATCCAGGACAAAACGGACGTCCATGACATTATGTAAATGACTATGTTTTGAGGTATGTTTTAAAATCTGAAAGATTACAGGGAAAAGTAAAATAAATACACTGAGCAGTTTCATAGATATCTTCATATTGTGTCACGATGCTGTGGAATAAGGCAGTCATAAATGTTTGGGCATATGAAGCTATTGATACCAGCTTAAAGCATGCTCGTTTTGCCTTGCTTTTGGTGGACAAAATATTCATTTATATTCAATAGGAGTACAGATAATTACAATTGAAGGAGGTGGGCCGCCTCGTTTCAGAGGTAAAATACGATAGAAAATTAATGGACACCAAAGTTTGGTACGTTCCAAAGCTATAGTGTCCCTGAAGAAAGCATATTTACTTTTGTGTGCCTTTGATCAAAATATGTTAGTAAAATACACACAGAAATGTCAGACTTTTGATACTATTCAATACGGACATTTATTTTGTCAACTTTGCAGGACATATCTGATGTAAAACGGTTAAGAGTATTGCAACAAATATTGTTTTTTAGAGAATCAAACACATTTCCACACTACATGGAATCACATGAATCGTTTTATTATTCCTCTGCTCTTCCCATTGTCTCATTCTAACCTGTCGACAAAAATATGATTTTTACAATATTTGGAAATATGACATGTTTTTAATTCACCGCAACAATGAATATCTTTGCATTGTAACAGCTCCGGTTGCAAATCTCGAGAGATTGATAGTTTCTTAGAACCTGTTCGAATACTGTACTATAATGGCATCATTACGTTCATTTTATTAAAACTATCATCTTGACTTTTTTTAAAAGACGAAGCACAACTTACGGAAAGGACCATTGGATGTGCAAGAGAATGATTTGATAGAAAAAAATATGACCAAAAAAGTATTAAGAAAACATCAAAACATGAAATGCCTTATGTTAAGGCCTTTACAAAAACCATTTCGTGATCTTTTCTTCCTACTGGACGAAGTTATCGACTTACGGAGATTTTCACATTTCTTTGTTTTGTTTTAGTTTGTTTCATTGCAATATCAAGGTAGCTCAACTATGGAAACGCAACTGTACTGTAGAAATGTTGAATTATTGTACATTTAATTTATAGTGTGTTTTATGTAACATAACAGAAAGAATAAACTTTTAACTATTGAAATTACCGTTTTCATATCGTATGTTATGTATATTACTCGTTTCCTGACCATCTATCTCTCTATCTCTCTCTGTCTCTGTCTCTGTCTCTGTCTCTGTCTCTGTCTCTGTCTCTGTCTCTCTCTCTCTCTCTCTCTCTCTCTCTCTCTCTCTCTCTATCTATCTCTCTCCCTCTCTCTATATCTATCTATCTAGTATCTATATAACTATCTATCTTCTATCTGTCTATATATTATCTATCCGTCTATCTATCTATCTGTCTTTTTTTTC